TTTTCCCCATGTGCTTTTGGAATCGAACCAGACACCTAAATACTTGAAAGATATACTTTGAGTGATTGTTCTACCCTTTAGTTGAAGCTGTAACTGTGCAGGATGATGCTTCCTAGAAAAAACAACCAACTCAGTTTTCTCCGGAGAGAATTCGATACCCAGCTTCATAGCCCAAGTAGACAAATTGTCTAAGGTATCTTGCAATGGTCCTTGCAGGTCCGGTGCACTTGGCCCTATAACGGATACAACGCCGTCATCTGCAAGCTGCCTTAGCGAGCAATTTTCATCAAGACAACCATCAATGTCTTTTACATAAAAATTATAAAGAAGGGGGCTTAAACATGAACCCTGGGGGAGACCCATGTAACTAATTCGTGAAGTTGTCGAGTTTCCATGAGAAAAGCTCATATATTTCTCAGACAACAAATTGCTCAAATAGTTGTTCATAATTGGTGAAAGCCCACTATCGTGGAGTTTATCCGAAAGGACATCGATACAAACAGAATCAAAAGCCCCCTTAATGTCCAAGAAAACTGAACCCATTTGCTGTTTTTGCGCATAGGCCAGTTGAATTTCAGTTGAAAGCAACGCAAGACAGTCGCTCGTTCCTTTGCCTCTCCGAAATCCAAATTGCGTATCTGAAAGTAAACCATTCGACTCGACCCATTTGTCTAGACGAAAAAGAATCATTTTCTCCAACAATTTCCGTATACAGGACAGCATCGCGATGGGACAGTACGAGTTATAATCCGACGCGGGTTTACCGGGTTTTCGAATGGCGATAACTCTTACTTGCCTCCAATCATCCGGAACAATGTTGTGCTCCAGAAATTGATTGAATAAGTTCAACAAGCGTCTCTTCGCGACGTCTGGGAGATTTTTGAGCAAGTTAAACTTGATTCTATCCATTCCTGGAGCTGAGTTGTTACATGAGAGGAGAGCAAGTGAGAATTCCACCATCGAAAACGGGGAATCTATTTCGTTATTACCCGACGGACGATCACGAACGTTGGTTTGAACCGACACCGAATCCGGGCAAACTTTCCGCGCGAAGCTGAATATCCAACTGTCCGAGTACTCCTTGTCTTCGTTAATCGGTGATGACGCGTTTCGCATTCTCCTGCCGACATTCCAGAGTGTTCTCATGGAAGTCTCTCGCGACAAACCATCGACGAACCGACGCCAGTAACCGCGTTTTTTTGCTTTAATTAAGTCCTTAAAAGTTTTCTCGAGGTCGGTGTACCGCTCGAAATCCCCGACCTTGCCGTGTTTGCGGAACCGTTTAAACGCGGCGGACTTCTCGCTGTTCGCGTCGGTGCAATCCTTATCCCACCACGGGGTGGGAGGTCGCTTGCGGACGGAAATACCCGGAACACGTTTCGTCTGTGCTCGCAGCGCAGAATCGATGATAAGACGCGCGAGAAAGGAGTACTCGTCCAGCGGAGGAAGTACGTCAACCGATTGGCTGGCATCAAGAACCGCGGTCGCGAATTTTCGCCAGTCAATGTTTTTTGTAAGATCGTACGCGATGTCGACCGAACGAGTAGAAGATGAACCATTGGTAATAGAAATTTTGATTGGCAAATGGTCACTACCGTAGGGATCTTGAATTACTTTCCACGAGCAATCCAACGATAGTGAACTCGAACAAAGTGATCTGCTTATTTTTGCTGGAGGTTTGGCTACTCGTGTTGCTTCCCCGGTGTTCAGAATTGTCATTTTGAAGAAGTCGCACATGTCGTATATCAAGGTTGAGCGGTTGTCGTCGTACAGTTCCCCCCAGCCTGTACCGTGAGAGTTAAAATCTCCCAAGATCAACCGTGGCTCCGGCATAGCCGTGCAGATATCCGAGAAACTTTGACGAGAAATCGCAGTTCGCGGTGGAAGATATACTGAGGCAATACTGAGGCATTTACCTCGAATATTAACCTGACATGCAACAACTTCAATGCCTGTCACCGAAGGCAGATCGATTCTGTAGAAGGAATGGAGCTTGTTGATCCCCAGAAGCACCCCTCCATACGAATCTGCGCGGTCAAGGCGAATAATGTTGAAATCGTGGAAAGCAAGATCGTTGTCTGAAGAGAGCCATGTTTCACAAAGGGCAAATGCATCAGAAAGTGAGTTGTTAACTAAAAATTTAAATGTGTCAAGTTTTGGTATAAGACTTCTACAGTTCCACTGAAGAACAGAGATCATATCCCCGACCTCATTCGGAGAATTATCCATCGAAAGATATGATCGATGCAAGGAAGGACCACCTAGAAGCTAGTTGCTTCAAAAGAGTTTTCACCATTGGCAGCACTAAATTAATAATGCTCCTCGTTGAGTCAGAGACATTGAATATACTGAAGAAGCTATCCACAATACCAGAAAACGTGAACATGGGGGCATGTTCTTGCTGATTATTCAGCTTCTTTTCTGGCCGAAAAACTGGGACATCTGGGGTTTTAGATGATCCTGGAAGTGACGGAAAGTTCTTGTCATAATTACAAGGTTTAAAACCCGGTGGAATGGGTTTCGGTGTATTTCCGTTACCTCTTGAATTTTCCAAGGTGGAAGGGTGGTCCGTACGAGTGGCCTTACGAGGCTTTTCGGTGGTGTGTTGTTTTGCTCGTTTTCTCGTATTGCCTTTAAAGACAAACGGACTACCCTCACCGCCCTCTGAGTCAGAGTCTAGATCATCAACTGGCAAAATGGAGAACGTGTTACTGTTTTTTGGTGTGGTCTGAGAAGATGAAGCGGTATTCTTCAAGAGTTCTGCTAGTGTTCTCTTGGAGCGAGCTTGCAGAGACCGCTTAAGTTTTTCTCCCTGCTGTTTATACCTCGGGCAGTTAGTCAGGGTATGCAGGCTCTCCTTGCAGTACACACATTTTGGTGGAGCACCGCAAGGGCCCTCTTGATGTTGCTCGCCACACTGATCGCAGCGTGGTTTGTTCGAGCAGTAGTCCGATGTATGACCAAGTTGTTTACATTTCGAGCAGTTCATTACCCGAGGTACAAACAGGCGTACAGGCAGCCGAACCTTGCCAATAGCGACGTAGTGAGGTAACGCTGAACCCGAAAACGTCACACGAAACGAGTTTGACAAGGAATAAGTTTTTTTGGAGCCTACTACGGATACTGACTGCATTTGAAGGCAGTCCAATATCTTCACCTTCGGCAGAGCACGGTTTTTAAAGATTCCGAAGGAATCGGGACCCAAGAAATCATCACTAGTCAAACTCGCTTCGGTGACCACTCCTTCAATTTCTACCTCACTACTGGGTATGTAGACTCGGTATTCCAATGAAAAAAGCTCGCACGCAACAATTTGGTTAGCCTGCTTCCGGTCATCAACGGTAACGCGCAGTTTTATTGGTGTTACCTTGAAAATATCGGTAACGGCCGAAAAATGTGTTGTTAGATCCTTAGAGATCCTCGGAATGTTCAAAGGTTTTTGTTTGGGCCGGAAAAAAACAACCCATGGGCCTTTCGAGGCTTCTGGGTAAGCCTTTAGGCGGGGGAGCGCAGAGGTTTTTGGGGGCAATGGTGTGGGGGGTGCAGGTGGACGAGGAGGAGATGGTGGGGGAGAGGGTTGTGGGCGATACCTTTTCTTGGGATATGCTCCAGTATTTTTGCTGGAGAGCGAGTCAACTGGAACGTCAAGGGTTTCCATTTCCACAACTTCCTCGAGACTTTCGTGTGAGGTGGAATTAAGAGTTTCGTCGTCTGAGATGGAAAGCGACCATCCCCCGCCTTTATCATTTTCATCCATTGCGGTTAAATATCGCCGCAATGGTGTTTTTTGTAAAAAAATTTACAAATAATTGCAGTAATTTCAAATAATATCAAAAAAAAAAATATGTATATATATAGTTTCACTCTACTAACGAGTAATACATGCAAAGAAAAAAAAAATCAAAAAAAAAAAATAAAATAAAAAAAAATAATGATTATATACTATTAACAGAGTTTTGGATCACCCTAAGTAATACAAAAATAATAATAAAAAAAAAAAATCAAGAAAAAAAAATCAAGCGAAAAAAAAAAAATTGGATTTTTGGATCACCCTAATTAAACACCAATCTAATATTGGACCAGGGAAACAAGGAAGATGCTATACTGGCGAGAACAATACAAACGACACGGTTTATACCTAACGCACTGAGGCGGCAGCAGACTGGAGAGATATAATTGTTTGATCCAACGGCTGCAGAGTCAATAACCTCGATGCTGGTGTGCCTCGGTCGACTCGGTAGGCAATATGACGCTCTTTCGTTGTTGCTATCGATGGGGTGATGTACCGATAGTGGTGATGATTTTGCTGATGATGTTGCGATGATGCTGGGTTAAAGCTGGACCGTAATGAAAGCACTCGGCATATCATTAACGGCTTCCTCACTCGCGCACTAGTCGTCTAAACACTATGCCAATTAACTTTGGCGAGAAAAAACCCTCGCGTGGGGAAAAACTCAAAACTAAATGATAGTGTCGTACAACGAGACCGATGCGACTTGATCGGCTCAGCGTGCGAGACGGAATGGTTTTGTATTTGATGTAAACAGCGTTTTCGCGGGAGCCTTGGCGACCTTCTGAATACAAAAGAAAATCAACGAAGAGAATCGATCAATGTTACTTAGGAAGGACCTAATGCAATGTTCAGCTTGATATATTACAATCAAATGGATCGCTTCCATTGGAATTGTGCCCCCCTTTCCCTTTGTATGATGCCTGCAACCACCTATGGCGATGAGTACAAAAAGTGAACTTTTCCCATCGTAATTCCCATATGGGTAAACTTTAAAGGGCCAGTGCAGTGCGAGTTCGCATCCAAATGAGCCTAACTTTTAGGAGAATGAGCAGAACCTGATGTTGAATCGATATTTTGAACCACCTCAGTATATAGCGTGAACTGAATTGCAATTTTGGAACATTACCTAATACCTTTGTCAATTCACACTTCGCTAAATGCGATTTATTTAAGCGAACAAAGTTTAATCAAATCCAATCATCAACAGATATGTCATCAAGGCCGTAGTCTACGAAATTGGAATTTTGGTCGATTCACCCGACAACGATACCGATGAAGTCGGAGAGAATCCCATCACGTGAGTGTGCCACCTATCAGTCATTCGTTAACTCTTCGCTAATTGAATGTTTTTTTCTTGTTCACCGTGTTTCAGCCAGCAACAAGTGGATTTAACTTTCTTCGCTAACGATTCCAACGATACCCACATCAATCTGGGTGACATCCCGCTCCCGGTAGCAACCAGCGTCAACGGCCAGGTGCTGAGCGGCATTGCCCCGGTTCACATCGGAGCCATTTCGGATCTGAGCGATATTGTATCAACGCTCCCCATCTCGGGAACCATCGTTAACATCACCCAGACGAACGGTTCGTTCGTCGAGCTCACCCAGCAAAACATCAACGAACTCAGCGGGTCGTCTGGTGGTCCCATCAGCGTTGCCGATCTGGCCAAGCTACCCATCGGATCGCCCAGCAACCCACTGATACCGAATTCGCTGGATAACGTTGTCACGAATCTGGCTGCGGCCGGAACGGAATAGTGGATGGGTGCATACAAACGCGGGACGAGCAAAAGACCGAAATGACAAAAGTCGCACGTTGTGACGTCTGTTTGTACAGTTGATTATGATAAGCATGTGATATAATGTGGGTATCGTTTAAAATATATGTGAGCATTGATGTGTTTTGTTACGGGGTTGTACGAATGTAGCTAATTTCTTGATGACGACCATAAGGTTTGCACTCGGTTTAATTGTGTTAATCAATTTGTTTAGTAAGAAAACCTTGTTTTTCAGTTTCTAAATAGATTTATTTACCTACATCGTTGTTTTTCGGCTCCATGTTTTCCCAATGCCAGTCAACTTACCAGACACAGCAGCACGCTTGGGTAAAGAACCGACGCTGCACCAAATAGTTTTTATAGTGACTCACTTAAATGTGGAATTTTTTCATGAATCCGATGTTGATAAATCTAGACGAACATTTAAAAGGTCATTTCTGATTTGCACGATTTTCTTCCGTTAATAACTGAGCTGCTGTTGTTGTGTTTGATGTTTTGATGTCATGAAACTGTTAAAAGGAAAAATCATGACATTAGTTTCCTCCATACAACATCTCTCTGTGTGTGTATTCCCTTTAACCCCCACTGGTCGGCAGTGTTATTATGGAAGTACTCTCTCTACAATGTTGCATTTATGGCCATTGTAGACAGCTTTAGTCCGGGAGTTAGAAAGTGATAGCTCTAAGGCAGATCCAGCAACCCATTTCAGAATGTCTGGAGAGTCACGCCCATTCCGAGGCTACTTTCACTTACAATAAGCCCCGCATGTATGCATGACCGTTATCAAATGGATATTGGTCTTACACACACGTTTTCAGGTTCGAATATATTCTTTTCAAACCTGGCACGTATTTAGTTTGTTTTTTAAATTGTAAAATGTATTTGGACTGGTCTCAACATGTTAATTTGATCCTCCAATCCATGGGTTCCGTAATTTTGATTTCCTCTAAGCTTTGCATCTCATTTCGTGATGCACCTTTGTCGTAATACTTCGCGTGTAGTGCTTTCCCCAGGAACAGTTCGCGGCCACCCGTCCAGTCTTGGGCGTATCCAGCGAGGCATCTTTCATATTGCTTGCATTCTCCGACACCGGTGAGAGACCAGCAGCCGAGCACTTTTGCAAGCGGAAAACTTGCTGATTCACGGCAACGTCGGCTACCGAATCACCACCAAAACTAGCGACGGACACATTATCAACACGTTCCCAGGCTAATTCACCAACCGGACCGATCTCTCAATGGAACTACACGCTGAAAGTGTAGCATCCGAACTCGGAGAACCGGGCTCCCGTGAGGCAATGAAAATCGACACCGAACAATGGAACTGAATCTGCGTTGTATATTTTGGAGGATAGATTCAAGTTCAACCGAGCCACTCAAGGCAAACACAGGCAAAACACGATATATCACTAAATGATAACTTTCAGCACACAAATTAATAACTGTGATGTACACCTCTCTGGACGCTAGATGCGAATCTCCTTCATTAAAAATGGCAAAAATAGCGCGAAATCTATTTGTATAACCGTGGTTATCAAAAGAGAAAGTCAATAAAGCGAATCGAACAAAGCAGATAGGACCTTTTGATGAATTCATTTAGAAATGTTCAGGGGACAGTGACGAAGAAATTAAAACATTTAACCTGAATCGTGTTTCGAAAAACCTTCGTAAACCGGTGCATTTCACCACGGGTTTTATTGGCATTGGTTTGTGTGAATAGTTCAAATTTCTTCGCCATTTATCAGTTGAAAAAACATCGGATTTAAAAATAAAATATTCATCCATATTCTCGTTTTCGTTCGAACCGTTTTTTTCTCCATTAAAAATGCTCAGAACTGAACTGCTATGTTTCTTTCGTTCAGAAAAAGAAGCAACACCAACATCGAACTTCCTGCTTATTATCAGCTGTTTATTTAGACTATAAAGTATTCTTTATTTTCATTACTTTCCGACTTGCATAAACATTCTTCAGCTTGCCGACAGTTGGCCTTCTTGTGCCATTCCTAATCATTTTTTTTTCTTTTTTTGTTTTCTCCGTTTTCCACATTCTCCGCCGGATGAGGTTAGTGTACTGCCTTAAATTCTGTGAATCTTAACGCATCTAGTATTTTTTGCTTGTTTTTGTTTCCTTTTCTTTCATGTACCATTTAATACAATAAGATATCTCTATAAGAAAAAAAAATCGATTAACTTAGGGGGTATACTCACTATTCTCTTAGTCGCTATAGCTACTGCGCTCTATCTTAAGTGGTAGGATTAATTGTGTTGATCTGCCTTAAGAACAAATAAGTTATTCAAATTGTCAAAAATATACAAAATACAAGAAAGATCTGCGCTTTCGGTGCCGGGTGGTAATTACTTCGTCGGTTCATTTCCGATCCAGGTTCGTTTTGATTTTGTTTTCGCTAGGTAGAAATGTGCAAAGACACCAGGTGCCAACTTCTGCAACATAATTTTGAAATATAGGTACTTCCAAAAGTGACGGAAAACGCGAAGAAGTAACGCCTTTTGGCACCGATGCCGATGGTTACTACTCGATCAAACCCAAATCGCTAGCTTACGTCTTACGTGTTCTAGTATTTATAAATATTTTGCTGATTAATGATTATAACCCTCTTTCTTTCATTAATCCATTCACAAAACCACTTGCCATTTGTGTCAGTGTACCAAATTTGCCATTATGTACTAGCGCGTAGTAGTTTAGTTCAATTTGTTTTCAAACGACTTTTTCTTTGCATTATGATACAGTTTGAGAGTTCAGTTGGTTTTGGTTGGAAAGTGTAATTTTTTGTTGTATTTTCATGTTTCAGTTGTTTATATTTAACTAGGTAGTATATCCAGAGAACCGGGTGAACTCAGTAAAATCCCCTTTTTACTTGATCGCACCACATGCGACCAACAACGGTAGGAACTTGTTTGTGTTTTCTAATCGTCGTTTTGCGTTGTAAAATCGTAAAACACAAATGAAAGGTTTTTGTTTTAGTGGTGATGGGGCGAGATGGGATGGAGTGAATAAGAGGAAATGAAAGTTCAAGCTTAGTGCTTTATTATTTCCAGTTTGCCTTTTAACACATTGTAGACTTGGTTTTGTCCCTCTTGTTTACAAGTTAACATCCGATTATAGAAGAAAGTGGTAATTGGTATTAATGAAAAAACTGCCCTAGTGAAACGGTACAATCGGAAGCGATGTTCAATCTGAAAAGAGAAGACAATGATAAATGAATTAGATATGTGTTTGAAAACATTCACTTTTTGATCGGCAGAGCGTTAGCACTTTTTATAAACTTTTAAGACATCAATAATTAATCTTTAATCGTCATCTAAATCTTAGAACTATTTGGTAAAAGTTTTTGTTTTCCTTGATTTGTTTTCCATCGATCTTGTTTTCCGTGCTGAGCACCAATGCTACCGACGCCAGGAAGGCAGCTCCCACACCTGAACCCTACCTATCGACCCATCAACTAATGAACCGGGGACCAACGGCGTTACTTCCCTTCCGAAGGAAGGCGTGATCAGAGATGTTATGCCTCAGAACATCCCGGCAGCGTCGACTGGGATTGAACCCAGGCCTGCTGGGGTGAGAGGCAATCACGCTTACCACTACACCACCGGCGCCGCTTTTGGTAAAAGTTCAATTATTATTGATTAACGACGAATTACATTGATATTTTTTCTACACTATATTTGTTTGGTAGTGCTCAATGTAACAAAATTATGAAACGAACAATGCAAAATTTAAGAATTTAAGTTAAAATATTAGTGGTGCTTATATTGCATCGAATGGACTTAAGTAATACTTTGTTAAGAAAATCTTTAATGTTTATTAAAATCTAGAAAAAAAAAAACATCGCGTCATATGAGAAACCAATGACCATTTATAAAGCTGCTGAAGGAATATCGACGGTAAGTTATAAGAAACTACTGATAGACCTTATTTTCTGATTCGGAAATCTTATACCAGTTTTAACATTTTGAGCTAGAAACTGCAACCATCTCGACATCAAACTACAAACAAGGCTTGCTTAATCGCTAAAGTTTTCAGCAAGTTTGCTCGATTTACTCCATGATATGAGAAGAGGTCCTTGGCATGGAGATTTTCTCATCCTTAGAAACAGTGTTGAAAATATTCACCAAAACTCACTATGACTCGCAAACTTTTCCCTTGTTGAACTTCGTGAAATATCATGAACTTTTTCAACCTTGCTTAGAAGTTGACTGTTTCCGAACTCAACACTAGGGGCAGACATTCATCCAGTTCTCCTACATCTTACATAGGGTATACGTCCCTAACCTCGGTCTAATATGCAGCCATCGATTACGTTTTTAATCATAACTCATCAATGAATTTACCTGCAAACGATATTCTACTGCTAAATGGTATGCTTAGATATGCTTATCATGTCGTTTGCTATCAGAAACCACGAAAATTTGAAAAACTTACTTTTTTTAAGACAATAACTCACGAGGGAAATGTATGTAATATGGGTCTATTGTCCCCAAATTGGGTCTATTTATGGATGCAACTTCGTCCTATCTTGTTTGATCCTCAAAAAAACGCTCTTGGTAACGTTTTCTGATGTATTTTTTTTTATCACTATCACTGTTAACTTAATGCTCTTCATTCCTCAAAACATTTCTTAGAGAAAATTTTACGAAAACTACATTAAATCACTCAATTTAAAAATTAAAAATTAAAAATTTCGCTTATCGTCTTTTGACCGCAGAATATCTAAATCAGAACATTGTGATGTTCATTATACAGGTTTGGCAGAAAAAATCTCCCTTCCTGTTCGTTCCTTATCATCCAAATGCAAAACAACATTGTTGACGTTACTCTTATTGCTATATGCTGTCAAATGAATTTCATGGGCCATAGTTAGGAACATAGAAAAGAAATGTGTCCCTAAAGTTGGGTCCATGTTTTACTTGTGAAAACGTTGTTAAACAATTAAAATAAACATAAAATATTCAAACAGCAACTGTAAGTTTTACGTCTAGTGTGTATTATCAGGTAATTCCAATCAATAAATGCCATAATCAGGCCATTTGATGATCGTCAGTCAACCTTCCCATCTTAACCTTATAAGTCATGGCGGCTAAAAACTCCGAACATTGTGATATTCTCAACCAGTTTTATTACTTACGAGAGCTGAAAATGTATTGAAATGTTGTGATATAAATTGATTTGTGTGTGGTACACATTTATCAACCATCAGTGATCAATATTTTCCTTATTTTTTGTGTAATATTCCTTAATTAATTATTTATTTGCGTGATAGGCCGAATGAAAGGACTAGACCCACATTACATACCGTAACCCTATTATATGAAACACGTGTCTTTAATCCCTTGAGCACAATTTGAGTCCCAGCTCCATAAGAATTTTTTTCTCGATAATACGCTTAACCAAACGCTTATTCGCGGCCATATTTCTATGATGGGAAATCGTAAATGCTTTCTCCTCCAAAATTCTGTAAGTTAATTTAATCGCAATTGCAATACTAAAACTTCACTGAGAAGCTAATTTTCCGAGCTAACCAGATTCACAATGAAGACCTAGAATACTCAATTAAGCCACTCTATGCTGTCGAGGCAATGCTTCTCTACGTTCTTTGAATCATTATTCAATCATAAACGTGCTACTCCATGCAATCAAGCAAAAAATCGAACCCAATCAAGAACATTATCCAAAAATTCACATTTAGTTGATTCTCTGAGCTAAGCATGCTGTTAAGAACACAATAAGGAACAAGAACTAAAAGTGTTCAGAACAAAAATCATCTTCTTCTCTTAACTCTTTACCATTCTTGTATTTACTCAAAAGCGCGCCAATTAGGTGTAACATCTATTAAGAGACGCACACACCCATTTGGAGGTAAAATTTTGCGACAACGTCTAGTGTCTACGGAAATATATTTTTATCAACCCTCAGGATCTCAGTTCAAATCAGGAATGTGTCAACACCCAGTGTGAGCTGAATTTATATTAGGCGCAAAATATCCTTTTGTTAGAGTAATTGTTGCACAACTTGCAAAAATACTACATCAAGCGTTGAGCAACCACAAATTCGAAACACCATTTAAAATTTGAAATAAACAACTATCCTCAATCTACACCGAGTAATTAAGTTGTTTGAAACTAGCAAAGTTAGTCATACTTATTATTACGTTTCTGGGATTAAGAAATATTTCTCTGAATTTTAATGAAATTTCCTGATATTCCAGGTCCAAAAATGGATTCCCTGATATTGCCTTATTTTCCAGGTAGTCGACACCCTGAATATGTTCAATAAGTTGATTTTGGCCACATAGCCCCACTTTCCCCTACCTCAGGGAAGTCACCTGGGACCGTTGATTTTTATACTATATACTTCAACGGCGTGCATCTGCTCATCGAAGCTCCTCGGTTATGAGTAAATGACCTCAAATCTTCTTACGAATCCGCTCGATTGCTGACTGTCATTTTCTTCAACGTTCTCCCGGAATTTTGGAAATTATCGCGGATTAGGTATTTTAATTAAGCACAAAACTGAAAGCGATGAAGCCAAAGGATAAATGGGTAAATTCTAAGACAGCAGCACCTTGCTGGATCTTCAATTTGGATCTGCGACAGGTTCGAAGTCTTCACAATCTGTGTATGCAAATTTCGCTCAAAACTTTACAGGCTTTTATTTGATTGTTCTCAAGTCTTACCTTTAGATTAATTTCCTTTCACAGAGATCTCTCCAGAATTCTTCTAAAATAAATTTGAAATTCTCTCTGGAAATCCCTTGATATTGTTTTTATAATAGTACCGAAATTCTCTGTAGAACACTCCAAAAAAATCTTAAAATTCTCCCTTTCTTCTTTTTAAACTCTTTCTAAGAATTCACTAGAGCTTCAATTTATTTAAATTTGCATGAAATTCTCCGTAGAATTCACCTCAGACCAACAATTGAAAAGGGCCTATTAGCTTTAGTGAGCAAAACTTCCCTGCCAACACCATCTGGCAGGAGAAATTCTCCCGCCGAGAATATTGCTCAGAATTATCTTGGAATGCTCCCCTAAATTCTTCTGAAAATTGGATGGAATTCTCATTAACATTTGTGAAATTCCTTTCGAAATGCGCTTGGAGTTATAATCGGAATATACTTATAGATCTTCGCATAATTATTTTGGAATTGTACCATCAAAATTCGCGAGGTTTTCCTTAAGGTAACTTAAAAAATATTCTTTGAAATACTTTGGTGTTATCTCTATAATTAATTCTAAAATCAGCTTAAATTTACTTCGAAAATCAAGACCAGTCCAAGGGTCTTGAAATCTTATTGTTTTCGAAGAGAGGACGAGGTATATTTTTTCCAGATTTGTCAACTAAATTCATGGGATTTTCCCGGTGACTTCAAATTCCAGCTTTTTTCGGTTTTCCCGGTTCACTGGTCACTCTGCATTTCACATATGAAACACTTGGATTAAACCATTATATTTATTTTGCCTTGAGCACATTTTGAGACCCAGCTCCGTAAGAAAATTATTCCGGATGATATGCTTAACCAAATGCCAATTCGCGGGCGGCTTCCTCCGGTGGGAAAAAGTAAAAACAACGCTTTCATCTCCAAAGTTATGCAAGTTAATTCCATCTAAATTGCAATAGCAGCAACATTACCATACTAAAACTTGAAGACTTGAAACAATGAAGACCTAGATTACGTAATACAGCCACTCTATGCTGTCAAAGCAATGCTTGTCTACGTATCTGAATCATTATTCAATCTTAAATGTGCTACCCCAAGCAATAAAAAAAAAAACCTTCCAATTGATCAACTCACTCGAATTGAAAAAGGTTGAACCAGGCTTAACTCTTCAAGCCAATTGAATTCAAATGAGTTAATCTATAACTTGCCTTATCTAAGTCCAGCTTAACTCTTAATCATTCTTGCATTTACTCAAAAGCGCTCCAATTCACTTAAGGGATTGATTTTTGTTGGACACAGCTGGATCGAGCAGACGCAGAATCTACTTGAAGGTTAAATATTGTCAGACGCAATTGGGTATAACATCTATTAAGAGACGCACATTCCCATAAGCACCTTAACCCTTAAATGCATGATTTTTTATTTTGTGGTGATTTTTTTTTCTTGTAGTATATATTGCTCTTAAAGGGTGTCCACGATGAAATTGCCACACTATGAAATTGCTCTAACTTTTTAACCGTTG